TATTATAAAACCCTGGCAAGTTATCAAAATAGATAAAATGGGGATATCATTGAAATGGATGTTTTAACTTTACTGCTCAAGGTTCACGTGAATTGAAGAAACTGAATAAAAAATGTATTCTTAGTAGGGCTTCCCTGGTGGCACAGTGGTTAAGAATCCACCTGCCAATGCAGGGGACATGGGTTCAAGCCCTGGTCCGGGAAGATCCCACATGCCACAGAGCAACTAAGCCCATGCGCCACAACTACTGAGCCTGCGCGCTAGAGCCCGTGAGCCACAACTACTGAAGCCCGTGCGCCTCAAGCCGGTGCTCCACAACAAAAGAAGCCACCACAACGAGAAGCCCACGCACTGCAACGAAGAGTAACTAACCCCTGTTCGCTGCAACTAGAGAAAGCCCGCACGCAGCAACAAAGACCCAACACAGCCAAAAATAAATAAATAAATTTATTTTTTTTAAATGTATTCTTAGTAAACATTGTAAAGTATTTGGAACTGAAACTGAGAAATAAGTTTTAAGTAAAGAGGAAGACAAATGTTTGAGTACTGCTTATGACCTTGGACAAGCCACTTGACCTCTTTGTAAATGGAAATACTATAGAGTTTTGTTATTGTGGTTCTAAAGATAGCAGTACAGTGAAATTTGCTTGTATTCAAAATTACCCTTTAAACTTTAGACTCACACTCAAGATAGCTTATACTTTGAGATAGAACGAGCATATGAGATCTGATTTGTACTGAGGGAACAGGAGAAATGAATCTCCCATCTCAAGCACACCCTGGGTCATAAGCTCATGAATACAGTGACTGGATGCAGTGGTCTGCAGTATTTAAATGATTTCTCCCCTTTTTATACACTCATAAATTAATAGGACTTCAGTGCAATAGTGCCTGCATAATAAGGTTCTTGGGAAGTAATTAAATAATACAACCACCTGTCTTACAGATCGTGTTTTTGTAAAATGAATTTATTCTAATGGATAGATTAATTAAGGAGCAATACCGTTTGTGTTGTGACACAATTAGATAACAAGGTGGGGAACTAGTGACACGGATGAGAAGAACTGTGAACAGCACTGCTATTCTGAGTTATTCTTGTTGTCCTAATAGTAATTTGAAAGACCGCAAGAAGGATTATGCTAATGACAGTGCTGAGAAAGGCCAGAGTGAGGTGCGATCAGTTGTAGGATTTCCTCAATGATGTTTAAGTTTTATAACATATTCTTATAACTAAAAACATGCCTTTATTATTGATACTCTTAAGGAAAAATATCATTTTTACTATGACCTGAAATTCCCTTGTCCCCAACCCCTATTGTCCCATGGAAACAGTTGTCTTTATATGTGATTTTTTGGATAATGCAATGTTTCTTTCGGTTCTGTCGTTATTGCAGAGCTGCCTGTATTTGTAAAGAACCTAGCACAGTATCTGACACACTTTTTTTTCAGTTGCTTTAATTAGTGCACATGCATGAGCATGAGCTCAAGCACTGAGCTCATGTTCAATTTTAGGGAAAAGGCTTGTTTCCATTTCTGTAAGCAACAGTGTTCTCCCCCACCCCTTTTTCTCCTTATTTTTTTAGAAGTAGGGCCCAGAGAATCCCAGTAATAACACCAGGCCTGGTTGAAAGGTCATGAAAGAAAATTCATATGGATTTTTATGGGGACTTTGAGAGAAGAAAGTTCACTTCTTAGCACCGTCTTTTTCCTTTTTTTTCTTTGCCTCAAAACGCCAAGTGAAATATACAAAGATTTTTTTCCTTTTCTACCTTTCTAAACATAAGATGGCTGTTCCTTTTCTAATTCTCACCTCCTACCCCTGTTTGAGTCCCAGTGCTTTTCTGTTATTTTTCTACCTTTGTTGGTGTTCATCTGTCAGTGTTGTTGCAAAGGAAATTCTGACGTTGGTGGATGAACTAGATGTCCAGTATGATATTTTACAGTTCTGATATGTACATCATTCACTTTAGAGCCTTTAGCAGGTTTTTAACCTTGCACCATGGTATTGAGCCCAAAACAATTTGGTTTTGTTCAGTTTTTTTCTCTTGCTCTTAAAAACACAGTGCCATGGAAAAGACAAAACCTCTGCTCTAACCCCTGCCCCATGAGAATGAGAGGTCAATAGAAATTTCTTTTCTTCATCAGGTTAGAGGGTAAGATATTAGAGGTGAGCATTTTTTAAAAAAATCATTGTAGTTAGATATCCCTCTCTGAATATTAGACCTGGAAATATAATCACATTTAACTGTTTTCATATGTATTGTATCACTAGAGTGTTCATAATTACTAATCATCTGTAAAGGAGAAACTAAAAATATTTGAAACTTTCATCAGTTTTCACTTGGAGGCATTAAAGATTTTTTTAAAAAACCCTTGAGGGACTTCCCTGGTGGCGCAGTGGATAAGACTCTGTGCTCCCAATGCGGGGGGCCCGGGATCAATCCCTGGTCAGGGAACTAGATCCCACATGCAACTAAGAGTTCACATGCCACAACTAAGCAGCCCACATGCTGCAACTAAGGAGCCCGCCTGCTGCAACTAAGACCCGGTGCAACTAATTAATTAATTAATTAATTTTAAAAAAAACCCTTGATATTGAAGTTACTATTACTATAGTCCTAAAAGAAAAGGCGAAGTTTCAGTTGTTTTGATTATATCTTTTATTCTGAAAATTAACTATCTTAAAGGGATTCCAAAGATCTAAGTATGTTCTAGTTTGCAAAGCTAGATGATTTTGAACTTGACACCCACCTAGCCAGCCATTTCTTAGGGATTTATGAAGAGTGATGGAAATACTTTTATCACACTGGTAAAATATTTCCAGGTAAATACAAAGAGTAGTATTTAATATTATTGATATTACATGCAGTTTTTAAAATTCTGAAATGATTTTAGATACATTGCTGTCCTCCTTTTTGCTTTCTTTCCTTACCTTTTTCTTCATTCCTTTAGATATCAAGATCAGCTAGAAGGTTTTGAAATTGCTTTAAAATTTGGTTCCAGCACTCCATTTGGCACTGTTGACTTGGGAAAGTCTCCTTGTATGATTCCATCTCCCACTTTTTATCCTTTAAGATTGTCTCTTACGCAGTAGCTTTTGTTTTGTCCTCAGAGGAACTGACTGACATGGCCAGGAATAAATTAAAATCATAGTGATACACAGTAAATCACTCTGTGTCTGTACTGAAAATGACTTATGCTTGGTCCACAGTTAATTTTGATTTATTCCACAAGTCTCCTTGAGTATATACAGATGTTCATAATGGAAAAGATTTTGTAGAATAAAGGGAAAGGGAACTCAAGAAAGTGATTATAAATCAAAATTCCATTTCTTATTTTATTGAGACACTTTCGGGAGGTATGCAGAGTCAAAACCATTTTTAGAATAATGTAATTTGCCTCTTGCACTCTCATTCACAAGTCGAGTTTTCCAGAGATTACACAATATGTGATGATGTCACCACTCTGACAGCTGATGGAATGTGTGCTTGTATATTCTTGTTTTTTGAAAGTTTCTGAGTTTTAATTTATAATACCGTAAATAGCAATAAATATAACCACATTTTCAAAGCTTAATCATTTTTAAGAGTTTAAAGGAGGACTTCCCTGGTGGTGCAGTGGTTAAGAATCCGCCTGCCAACGCAGGGAACACAGGTTCGATCCCTGGTCCAGGAAATTCCCACATGCCGTGGAGCAACTAAGCCATGTGCCACAACTACTGAGCTCGCGTGCTACAACTACTGAAACCCACGTGCCTAAAGCCTGTGCTCCACGACAAGCGAAGCCACCACAGTGAGAAGCCCATGTGCCGCAACAAAGCGTAGCCCCCGCTCTCCACAACTAGAGAAAGCCCATGCGCAGCAACGAAGGCCCAATGCAGCCAAAAAAATAAAAATAAGAAAAATTAAAAATTAAATTAAATAAACTAAAAAAATTAAAATTTTTAAGATAGAAAGAAAAAATAGTATAAAGGAGTCTTGAGACCAAAAGGTTTGTGAAACACTTCTCTATTGGCATAGTTAAATTGAATTTTCAGACTTGCTCCTTCTCATTTCCTGTTTATTGTAGTAGTTTGTTTGTTGGTTAGTTTTTAGGAACCATACCTATTCTCTTTATACTCTCCCGGGAATAGAATGTGAGTTTTAGTTGTGAGTGGCAGTTCAGGAAGTTGTCTGTAAACAGTTTTTTCACAAAGGTAAAAAGCTGATGTAGAGGACAGAACTTTCTTCTAACAGTACTGCCCAGAATGACTATCTTATGATATGATGTTCTTATCACTGGAGGGGTTCAAACATAAATCAGACAACTATTATCAAGAGTATTTTTTTTCCCTTGGCTGCGTCGGGTCTTAGTTGTGGCACTCGGGATCTTCGTTGAGGCACATGGGATCTTCCGTTGCGGCGCACAGTGTCTTCATTGCAGGCTCTTGGGCTTCTCTCTAGTTATGGTGTGCGGGTTTTTTCTCTCTAGTTGTGGCGTGCGGGCTCCAGAGTTCATGGGCTCTGTAGTTTGCGGCATGCGGGCTCTCTGGTTGAGATGCGCGAGCTCAGTAGTTGTAGCACGCGGGCTTAGTTGCCCCACGGCATGTGGGAATCTTAGTTCCCAGGGATCGAACCCGCGTCCCCTGCATTGGAAGGCGGATTCTTTACCGCTGGACCACCAGGGAAGTCCTTCGAGAGTATTTTTAAAGAAGATTAATAGTTCAGGTAGGAGATGTACTATAAGGAATCTAATAATATAAGGTCCCTTTAAAAGACACTTAAAATCCTACAGTTTTAGGGCTGAAATCAGTTTGGTTGCATGTGAATCCTAATGCTAATAGAGTGGGGTTCTTGTTAGTTGGTATTGCCTAGTTAAATTCTTTCCTGTTGAATCTCTTAAAAAATTAAAATGAATTACAAAAAGGACCCTTTGATTTGTTAATTCTGTTTATTTCTCCCATATAAAATATGATATATTTAATCAACTTGCTTACCTTTTTTTCATGTGTTTTATTTCAGTTGGTCGCATTATGTTTCAGCTCTTTTCAGATATATGTCCAAAAACTTGCAAAAACTTCCTTTGCCTATGCTCAGGTAAATGAATTATTAAATTATTTCCAATGAGAAGTCCTGGCTTACAGTTTTACCTTGCTTAACAGAGTAGATATTTTCCTTAAAAAGTAATGATCTGTGAAATGAGTTTAGCAAATAAAAAATATTATTTTCATTGATATGATGTTAGGGAAGCATTTCTTAAAGGGAAGAGAGGAGAAAGAAATGGTCTCAGAAATGAAAAAGGAAGTATCACCATATGTAATGAAGTCTTTATCCATTGTAGTTTATAAAATAATAGTATATTCAAAACTGACTTATTTTGGTAGAATTTTACAGATTTTAGTACTTTGAACAAATTTAGCATTCCAGATTTCACAAGAAATTTAGGATTAGAAGATAGAGAAGCAGAACATAATGAGATTGTTCTTTGTTACATGTAATTGGATTTATATTTTTTAAAAGTAGAAAAAATAGGGAGGAAAAACATTTATGATGTTACTTATCTCTTACAGTGCCCAACACAAGGGAGGGATTTGACAAAGGATTAATTGGATGGTGCTTTCCATGGAAGGATATGTTTGCAGCTAAACTTCATTTCTTTTTTTTTTCCAGGGGAGAAAGGCCTTGGGAAAACAACTGGGAAGAAGTTATGTTATAAAGGTTCTACATTCCATCGTGTGGTTAAAAACTTTATGATTCAGGGTGGGGACTTCAGTGAAGGTAGAGCTAAAAGTTATGCTCTTAATAACTCTATCAGTTTCTAAAGCATCTCATTATTACTTTTAATTGTAAATATCGTGTCACAGTATGATATAATTATCAGGTGGTCAGTGAATAGTTGTTGGGTGAATGAATGTTATAGGCCAAAAATGTATAAAAAGCAAAATACTAAGACTTCTTTTTGTTTGTTTTTATGCAGTTTTAATACAGTTACTTGGTGCCAAAGTACTGTTCAGTTGTTTTTATTCTTTTAGAATTTTGTTGGTGTGATTGCTGTTTGAAATAAGTGGGTTATGGAGATAATTTTTTAAATAGTTTTTATTATAATGGGATTGGATTTATAGTTTAAAACTGAGGTTAATTGAGGAGTCTTAGAATTTTTATCATCTGCAGTAATTACTCCTTCAGCAAATTGACACCAGAAAAAGTAATTTATGTGTATTAGTATATTTTTAGTTTTCATTATTGTTTAATGTAGCTCATTATTTTCAGGTAATGGAAAAGGTGGAGAATCAATTTATGGTGGATATTTTAAAGGTAAGGCTTAATATTTTATGGTCTTTTGTTTCAGTTCTGATATTAAAGCAAGTTTGATCATGTACTTTTAATGAGAAGAGGTTTACTTATAGTTCACTTTTTGCATGAAACTAATGCTGCATGAAAATACTTTATTTGCATGAACTTGGGGATAAATTACATTGTAATATATAACTTAATTGACAAGATTAATTAAGGCTAACTTTATGGTTAAACATGACTTTCAGCATGGAGGTTAGGCAACTATATACATGAAAACTCCTATCTTCCTGCCTAAAACTGTCAACATATTCTTTTGTTTATAGAGAATGTGGTCTTTTGCAAAATGAAAAGGTAAGAGAACGAAGCTCAGTAACACAAACTCCAACTCTGTTCCCTTGCACCCTTCCTAATAAATTTATGGACAGTCTGGGTCAGGTTGTGGCTGGATTTCTTATATTGCTTGAAGACTTGGAAAACTCTGTATACTGTTTCATACATGCATCTGTATCTTCTTTTCTTTTCCCAATGGGTTATTATTTCCACATCAGGGAAAAGAATCTAGTTAATGTTTATTTTCTCTAAACCAAGCAATTTCTTTGAATAAAATTTGGTATTTCTTCCTTTCTCAAAGGTTTGTATGTTTTCTTTTGTATACTAGAGCTATATGATTGTGTTTTTTTCCTACAGTAGTATTTGCATAAATCTAACTATTGCACTTGCCCCAAAAAGCCTTAGAAAAGTCAGTTGCGGAAATTTATAATGGGATCCAATATTACCAGGTTTTAATGCCATGATAGCTTCAGTGTTATAATAGTCTTTTATATTTCTTTTGGGGGAAAATGGATTACTACTTTTTCAGAAGCCTGTTCCCAAGGTAATCTTTTTTTTTAAAGTTTTCTATGTTTCTCTTTGTTTTAAAGAAAGATTTGTTTGTATGAGTGTTAACAGGAAATTTAAATTAGTTTTCAGGATATTTCTGCTGGAATTAAATCCATCTCTAAGTGATCTTTATGACAGAGTTTTTCCTTTGAGCTAGTAGGAAACAGCTCTTTAGCTGGTTCTATTAGCATGTAACAATTTGAAACTATTGCTGTAGGCCACTGTAATGTGGTTGTTCCCTGTGGCAGATATTTGTATATCTAAAAATTGTATTTTGCCATTTAAATTTTTGTACTTACAGGACTTGCTTCCTTAGATAGTTTCTGATCCTATTGATGAGAAAGAATCTACATAATTTAATTTAGGCATGTCCCTACAACTTAACTTACTGTAATATTTTGGTTTTTGGTTTCATAGTCTAGCATCAATTGAATTGAGTAATAAATTTACCATATAGAAATTAAGCACATAAGAGGATTTTTAAACTCCCATGTATAGTGCATTATGCAGGTTAATTGGAAATTTGGAGGAAATGAGCTTTACTGTAAAGATTTTTCTAAAATTTTCTTGCTAGTTTTCCCTGAAAGTTAATAGTTTAAACATCATTTAGCCAAAGTATGTTACTACTAAAAGTGACTGTTCTAAGGCTGTTTGTATAAAAGTATTAAATATATGTTCTTTTTTCTCAAGGCTAAGTAGTAAATAAGTAGCAGTTTTTGTTTTTATTTTATGCTTTTGTTATTTGATTAGTTAAAAAAAAGAATTTTTTTCAAAGTATTCAGTCAAGTATCTGTACTGACCAGAAGAGGAATTTCATCCTTTGCTTTCTATTTGTTACTTTGAACATTGCACTTTAAAAGTGACTTATAATTGTCGACTGACAAATTTGTGTTTTCTTCAAACAGATGAAAACTTTATTCTCAAACATGACAGAGCGTTCCTTTTGTCAATGGCAAATCGAGGGAAACATACCAATGGTTCCCAGTTTTTCATGTGAGTAGGCATAATTCAGAGATGAGCTTATGCTAAACAGAGAAGCGCTGTTCATGAGAAAGATGGTATTGTTAAACCAAGTTTAATGCTAGATTCTGTCAACTTGGGTTTTATTACGTTATAGTAATTGGTAAGCTCTAACAGCCACCTCAGCGGTAAGCATATATCCTGGATTTGAAGAATGGTACTTAAAAGGCGTAACTTAAAGATGTAAATTATTTTCAAAATATGTTGTCATCTTAAGAAAAGAAATTGGCTTTGACTTTTAACAAATTTGGGGGCTCAGATTACCAAATCTGGATTGGAACAGAAACCCTTGATGAACATTTAAAACTTGTCCATGACTAGGACTGGATGTGCCCTTGGCATGGAAAGCAGTTGGTTTGAGTAAACCATAGTATGGTTGCTTTTTCTCTAACTGTTGTTCTTTGAACCAGTTTGAGAGAGGTGCCATTGTTTTCTGACACTGTATAGAGATAAATGATTTGGTGTTCAGCCAGCATTGTTAACAATCTTAAACTTTGTGAGATCTCTATGCGTAATTGAATTAACCCAATGTTGCTATCATTCCACCAAAGTTTATGATATTATCACTTAGAAAACTTCAGAATGCTGAATTTGATATTTAAAAAACAAACACCTTTACGTGTACGTGTATACACAACCAAAACCTTACTTATTTCTCATCTGAAAGACTTTTCGCATACTTTTAGTTATATTCTTATCTAAAGCTACTCCCAAACCTATTTTTATTATAATCCCATGATATAAGATATGAAAGATAATTGGCTAGCATGGAGTTTGATGCTTTTGATTGGAAGTAAATCTCTGCAGTTATGCTATGTATATTGGAGAAATATTTTTCCATGGTTTGCCAGAAAAAAATTTTGTCATCTTTCTGAATGGATGAGTATGAATGGCGCTTCCCTGTCTTTAAAGGAGTAAATTATTCATATAAAATAAATCTCACACTTTAAGTTTGTGTGAAAAATAGATTCCAACATGATCTGATAAAGTTCAGATAAGGGGCATTCTTTTCTTAAGAATGTCCTAAAAATGGAAAGCTGATAGAAGATGGTAATGCTTGGAGTTGTGCAGGAAAAAAGGAAGGCCTAAAACAGTTATTCCTGTATCTTGTTTTGATCCCATAGAGTATTAGTTATTACACTACTTTACTAGAGTATTTTTCAATTCTTAACCTCCTTGAGGGCCAAAAAAAAGTAGGGGGAAATATTTTGAAAAACTTGGTGTAGAAGCTGTGTACTCTTTGATTGAGGTTTTCCCATTTCCATTTTTAAGCTTATCTGAACTGTGAACATGATAAACTAATGATTCATTGGTCAAAAAGCTACCGTCTGAGGGCTCTAAAGTTTCTTTTAGATTTCCTTTTTTATATCAGTACATTTAAATTTTTGTTTATCAGTTGCAGCAGCTTCTTCCCATTGTTATATACTAATTAGCTTATTTAGAAAATGTTAGAGTTAAAACCCGTGCACCTACATACATTAGTTAAAATCCAGTATATGAAATTCCCTCTTCAAAAAATTTACAGTATCTTGTTTTTATGTTATTTAGTACTTGCTTAAGCCTTTTCTAGAAATGTGTAGTATCAAATAAAATTAAAGCCATGTCTGTTTTCTACGTAGCTTAATTTTACATTAGATTATTTTTTGACAAGGAATACCAAATTAAAATTTTAACATCTGTAAATTAGTATTAAATTTTTTAACCTTGTTTTCATAATTAACTGATGGTAGATGGCACTAAAATCACTGTGAACTTGTGATTGAAAGAAAATTTTCTACTTTTAGTTTGACATTTCCTTCTGGAAATGAGTTTTCAGTTAAAAGCAATCTTGGAAATAAACATTTTTGCACTCACAAAAAATCCTTCTCTCTCTCTTTTTTTTTTTTTTTTAAAGAAGTTTTTATGCGTGTGCTTTTTTTTATGTGAGCTAAAAGTACCAATTCCTCAGGGGTTGCAGGATAAAATAAAACTAATGTTCACTTTGCTAAACAAAATGTTTCTTTGCTTTTATAGAAGGGATAGGTAAAATGGAGATGGTGGCCCATGAAAGAAATATCTTTGAAAGTCTATGTCTTACAAGCCCAAATCCTTTTGGAATTGGAAGTAGTAAAAAAGTATAATGTACTATCTTCAGATTGTATAGATGACCACAGATAATCGCTCTAAAAGTTGAGGTCTGAGGGTTGATGGTCACTGAGCTGTCTGATGGCTTCCCAGGGCTGGCTTCTGCATTTCATCCTCCTCCCACAGCTCTTCCTGTGGCACCTTGAGCAGCAGTTCTGCAGTCTGAAAAAGAAAGGGTAGTGTGAGAATGGATCATAAAATGCCAAGAACTGCCTTTATAGTTCCAGTTTTATAGGCTTAATAAGGACTTTTAACATATCCTTGCAAAATTGTATTTGTAGTTTATGCTATAAATCTGTTACCTTGTAATTCTAAGGAGTAAATTTGATGCAGTTAGTGTGGGTACTTGAGCAAAATGTTCCTCAAGAATTCCTGAGCAATAACTATTGTGCTCAAGAATAACTATTGTGCTTTGTGCAATAACTATTGTCTTCATTACTTAAAACATTTAAAACCTCCCCTTCCTAAGGCATATACATCATCTTATTAAACATATTTTTGAATATATTGCTTTCTTTGGGTGGAAAAATTATGTGTGTGATAAAAACCAGATTATCTTCTATAAAGCTATTTGTAATTTTTGCAGTAACTACTTTTGTCTACTACTATATTAGTCATAGTGATTTTGCTTTTAGGGGCCTAAATAGAAGAAAACTAATTGTTTTTGAAATAGTACTTCTCAAGAAACGTGAAAGAAGTGAAATATGGCACTATCCCCATGAGTCACTGAGGAAGTAATGGTTTGTTCATGCTGAGCTATTTTTGAAGGAATTCAAAGAACTGGGACCAGAGTAGTAACCAGATTAACTGGGTCCTTTTTATTGTTATTTATTTTTTAGGCCAAAGACTAGGAAGAAGCCACAGCAGAAGCTATAGGATTACAAAGTTTTAGACTAGAAAAGAATTTAGAGATCCTTTGTTCTATAGATAATGGTGAGTAAGGAAGAAAAGACATATGCAGCCCAGGTTATAGGTGTTTTACTCATAATCCTAAAGAAATTGATAGCTAGAAAGAGAATACTGCACACTGTAAGCTACGTAGATTTATTGACTGGTCTGCTCTGAATTTATTTATTTATTTCATTTTATTTTACTTTATTCTCTACTTTATTTTATTTTTATTTTATTTTATTTACCTCGCTGCGCGGCTTGTAGGATCTTAGTTAGCTCCCTGACCAGGGATTGAACCCGCGTCCTCGGCAGTGAGAGCGCAGAGTCCTAACCACTGGACCATTGGGGAATTCCCCTGAATTTATTTTAATTTTAGTTAGTTTTAGACACCTCAAGCATTGCTGGAGAATAATATGACACATAGGAAAGCATTTTTCTTTTCCTTTGGCTGTCAGTCATGACAGTCTGTTAATTCTGACTCTGATTTTCATTGTCTTTATTTTCATTCATCAAAAGGTTAAAGAAGATACTGCATAAAGTAGTCATTAAAAAGATTAGTTAGGTGATTTATAGCTTTGTATTAAGTAACTATTCTCCTGGGTTAGAGCACTAACCTAGCTATCAGGAAGCCTTGTATCTAGTCTTACTTAACTATATACCTTGAGTTAGTTTTGTTTTTCCTTTTCTGTTTGTAAAGTATCTACCCCACTTTCAAATATAAAGTAAACATTTTGGTGTGAAAATGCAGACATAAAAGGAAGAAAGTGTTTTGTAGGTTGATCCTAAGTTTCTGAATATGTGGAATGATTTATATGCAAATATTGTCTCTCCTAAAGGAAATAGTTGTAATTGCTTAATTTTCATCAGTCTGAAAGGTGCTGCAAAGAAACTCTGGCTCATCTTGCCTAAATTGGCTGCAGTCTCTTCATCGGCTGCTGTTAGAACATGTTGGAGTGGCGGTTGCTGTTGTCTCCCTTGGCTTAGTCTGTGCAGGCCTCATATCACAACCAGGGAATGAAAAGACCCACAGAGCCTTGGAGAACAGGCTTTGTCGTTGGCCACTGTCAGTGGTCATGATAATTATAAAAATACAAGAAAATAAGATAATGTCGAAAAGTCAGACTTTGAACTTTAAACAAAATGTGTGTGTTGAATTTTAACAGTCATAAATAGGACTGTGGGAGGAAAACATAAGTTCTAGGATATATTCTATGTCATTTAAGAATGGCTACTTACCTGAATGGGAGAGAAGTGCTGATCGTTTCAGAGTAGCAGAGCAAGGGAAGTTGAGGGGTGGTTTGGTTTTAAGGGCTTTATAAAGCTATATTGATATTTTTGGGTAGCAAAAATAGATTTGGGGTAGAAATCTTTTTCCCTCCACATATTCATGAATTTGTGTGAGAAGAAATGCTAGTAAGTGTTAATAACCTGAGAAGTTCTGGCTTTTTTCCCTACTTTCTTGGGGGTAATACCTTCATATGTTAATTTCAAGATTTTTTCATGAACAGATTTCACGACACTTAACCATAATCCATCGTCTCTGGATATTAAGTGTCATCCCTAACATCCAGTCTTAATATTACTTAGTGTTTGTGTGACGTTTGTGTTAGCAACCTGGAAGGAATTTTGTATCTCATGGTGTTTGGTGTGTGTTATATTAATGTTAGTGCTGAATTTTTTAAAGCTGTTCTATTTTGGTGACTTAGGGAACAATAGGTAGAGCACTGTAATGTGGCTTGGTTAGTTTCCATTGCCCTTACATGAGCTTTGTCACTCTGTACAATTTGGTGCCTCTTACAGGTGTGATAGTTTCAGGAGTTGAAGGGAAAAATTGCAGGTTAAAGCCTGCTTAAGACAGAAATAGGTTGTCTTTGTTTCCTTCTCTCATACTACTTTACAACTAGAGTCACTTTTTTTTTTTTACAACATTCATTGGAAACACCACATTATTTAAAACATTTTTTGACAGTAATTCATGTATCAATGCCTTTATAAGAAATTAAAGCTATTTTTAAATATTTCAAGATTTAATATATCCAAAACCCCTATAAAGAATTTTGTCCACTGTATGTAATACAGGTTTTGGTCTGAATAGTAACAGATATGTTTAAAGTTTAATTGAATTAAAATTGGTCAGAATGTATATTCATTGAACAAAAAATTTTCATAATGGAGAAAATCAGATTAGACAGGAAAAGAAAGTACTGTGGCCAAGATTTGACAGCATACTTTTTCTTATACTTATATCTCTCTTGCCTTTTTATCCTTTGAGAAGATCCTTAAAATTCTAGGTATGCTGCCCTATTATTTTATTATTATTATTATTTTCAGTTCCTTAACAACTATGAGTGTATGTAGTGGCAGTGAACAGAAGCTACAGTCTAAACATTTGGTCATTAACTCCTGATGGTAATCTGTTTTGATGTGTGACCAAAAATGCTTTCAAATGTAGAAACATGAAAGGTACTTTAATTGTTTGAAGTGAATTAGTAAAAAAAGTTCCCTGAAATTTTGTTTTAAGTCTCTTAACTCAGTTCTTTCCATTGAAATTTTTGATTTCTACTGCTAGTAACTGCCCCTGGGCATTCAGATTTTTTACTTATGTATGTATTCAGGATACATTATTCTCTTTTTGAGAAGGATGTTAGTTGATGACTTAGCCAGTTTCTGTGATTTGTAAAGCGGTATATAATGTTTTGTTTCTAGCTATTATTCACACTCTGGTGTTACAGTATTAGGGACCTGAGCAGATTCCCACTTCAGCCACAATGCTTTTCCTAAACATAATTCATCTCTACATACATATCCTATGTGAAAGAAAATTTAGAGCCCTCCTTTTTAAAAAGCTTTCTTGCTTTGCATAAAACTTGAAAGTATTTAATTTCAAAGTTATATTGATATTAAAACATAGATTCAGTCTTGTCTTAAAAGTGTATTACAATTTATTTCTTGCCATTTTTGTGTAAAATTTACAGAAAGAGAGTTACACCGTGCGCTCCAAAGGTAATGTCTCATTACTCTAAGGCTCTCTCTTTTTCTTTCTTTGCCTTTATCTCTTTAATCCTATTGTTATGTGCATTGAACCATTTTAAGAAAAAAAAACTTTCTGCTTGATCTGTGGCAGCAGTACATGTAAAACAAGTGTGTTTTATTGTTCATGGTTAATCCTGGGAAGTATAATTTTAATTTCAGTGGCTTGTTACCACCAAGTTCCCACACATCTTGCGGGGTGGGTTATATTGTATATAATGGTTTAGATCTTATTTCAGTACAGAACTGTTAATTTCTGTATAAGGCCGAAAGCTGCTTTGATAATGGTAAAAATATATATATAGATTGTTTTTTGGAGTAACAGTGATACTTTTCAGTTTCTAAGATTTACAAGGTTTAAATGTGCATATATTTTTAAAGCAGATTCATAGGTGAGGGAAACTAGAAAATCAGTGTTTGAGTGACAGGAGAAAATGGAAATGTGAAAATATTGAAAGCTTTTCTAATTTGAAATGTTCTTGTGGTTGTTTCTCCTTTAGGTATGTTTTCATAAGCATGTATAAACTTACATATTTATGATAGTCTCTGGCCTTAAGGTCTTAACTTGCTGAGCATATGTTACCACTGCCTGGGTCTTTACAGCTGTATAGTTTTGAAACATCAATACAGTTAAGAGTTGGTGGGATGAGATCTCTTTGCCCATTTTAGTAGAATTGAATGGCTTGGACCAAGCATATCATTTCCCCCTGCCCATGAGCCCAGTGCCAGCAAGCTTGCTTTACATTGGAATTTCTACTCTTAGAGTGTGGGCTGAGAACCCCAAGGGGCTTTTGTTAAGATACTTTCAGTATTCTTATTATGTAGTCTAACCCAATTAAAGCATAAATTTGTACTTCTGCATCCTGAATTGCAGATGCGAGTAATGGACTTAATTATTCCCACCAGTTTAGGCACAGTCGGCCAGTTGAAATTTGTCCTTGAAAGAATTGCTCATGTCTTCGTTTGTTTTCTTCACTACTGCACTAAAGGACCAAGTTTGTCTTCAGTTTTCATTTGAATTAAAAACAAAACTTGAGTCTGTCCATAAAGGTTCTATCCTCAAATTGAGTTTCAAGTATTATGTTGCTGCATCACTGCAGTTAGCTCAGATGTTTTAATCTCAACTATTTGCTCCAAAGGTTTGCTCTAAGGTGGTTTTCATAGCACTGCTGTTAGCCAGGATGCAAATTGAATTGGGTTGTTTGTGTTTTAAGACGATCTGTAGGCTTTTCCCCATTACCAGAATATCTGAGAATTGTGGGAGAAAGGACCAAGGAAGAGGAATATATCTAATCAATAAATCATTGTTTTCACTACTGCATGTTTGAGACTGATCCCTTATATTGTACAACATTTTTACCTTTAAAATTTTTACCTTTCCATCTTTCATACAGTGGAATCACTGTCTAGCGTATGTACTAACTTCTTACTATCTTTACTGTGCTTGGTAAAGTTTTTTAATTATGGGAAGCACAATTCTATCTTAAAGTTCTTGTCCAAGGTAATTTCGGGATGCTAGTTTCATGATTTAAGCATCAGTGACTCACCAGTTTGCGAGATTTTCTTTTTCTTCTTTCTTTCTTCTGCCTGTTTTTATTCATTTTTATTGTTACATTGGCTTAAACTACCACTTCTCAATCTTCTAAGGAAAATTTGAGACTAGTGGTTTTAAAACTCAAGATTCCCTTTAAAATTCTGGCACTCCTTGAGTTGATATTTTAGTTTTTTAAAACTAAATTCTGTAGTGCTTTTACAGAGCTGAATATTCTTAATGTAAGTATAAGTGTTAACATTTCCTGGTAGAATGATTTTTAGCATTGTTGTGAAGGTTAAAATTGTGTTTTACTGACTTAACGTTTCATAGAATTGCCTTAAAATGAGTATAAAAATTGGTAAGGGAGCTTCTAGTACAATTGACTGCCTTAACATGGCCTGATAATCCAGTGACCTTTCTCTCAAATATTATTTCTCTTTCTTATAAACTAAGATGTTTGTGATAGATACTTCTGAGTCTAGTTATCTGCTTTTGAATTTTTTCCCACTGTAATTCACATAGTCAGAAGATCTGTGAAAGTGTTATGGGAAAACTAGCTTGGGTTCAAAATGTCTTAACCAAATATACCCCATAAGACTTCCCAAGAGTGACTGCCAGTTTGTGACTATAGAAGCAGCCGGTTGGGTGTTTTCTGGGCCATGGAAATTTAAAGTGTCTATAATGTCATGATTACTTAGTTTGCTGTCAGAGTGTTGGCAGATTGAAGGTTTGCTCCCTACTGCATTTTCAGAGTTGCTGTGAGTGGCAGAGGGTCACCTTAGGTGAAGGAAGAGGGGCAAGAAGTTCTGAAAACAGGACTCCTGAGGCCTACCTCCATCTGCCTGCCTAAAAGATGCAGACTGACTCAGTATGAAAAATAATGAATAGAAAAATTCATTTAAGTATGTGGGGCAAGTGTTAAGTGTTGATCACACTTCTTTCCATAAGCAAATGGCTAGGTGTGTTTTATTCTTGTTTAATTATCTTGATAAATTTTGAGTTTGTTTTTGTTGTTGTTGTTGTCATTGTTTTGGATTTGAGAATAACTTTAATTTTAATGGATATTTATGCTGTGTATTTCAAACCTATATCACATATATGTATACATATATAGTCTCCATGTTGGAGAGAGATATGAGTTTGTAATTCATTATAATCTTGAGGGGTTTTTTTTAAATCAGTAAAATGACTACTGTTGCTGTTTTTAAGCTTATTAAGTTCAGGTGTGTATCGTGTTTAACTTTTTCCCCTATCTTTTTATCTTTACCTCTTTGTCCTCTACATGCTGTGATTTAAACCCTTCTGCTCTGTTCACCTGAACACCTGGTTTTTGCCATCTTCTTTATGTTGATGTTTGTTACACAGCACCACAAAACCTGCTCCACACCTGGATGGGTAAGAGTTATGTTCTTTTTATCTTGGAGAGGTGTTTGGGTGGCCAGTCCGAGACAGATTAGACCATGGGTGAACCCTCAAGGGGGCGCTCTTGATCTCTGGGTTAATCTCTCATAGCCGAGCTCTTCCTAAGGATCACAGGGTGCAGTAGTCTTGAGACCTCTCATGTCACTGAAGGGGTCTTTGCGTGGGCTCATGGGTGAACTTCTCACGCATGTGCTCTTGAGTGACCCTGTAAGGATGGTGTCTGAGTATCAAGTGCAATCTGCTTGTTATCAGACTCTTTACTATAAAATAGTTAAGAACCATTGTTTTTAAGGTAGAAAACTAAGGCCCAGTTTGAGATTTTTTTTTTCCTTTTATGAAGCAGAAGTTCTAATTCCCTTCTAGTTGCTTCATACATCAAACACTTCGCTCTTATTTTCAGGTTTGTGCATATGTCATTGATAACAGTTGTCTTGATTACTGCTTATGGCTTAATTATGGTCAAAACAATTCTTTCTTGAATTTGTATTGCAACAGGGTGCATGTTGTCTTTGGACTAGTTATTTCCGGTTTTGAAGTAATCGAACAAATTGAAAATCTGAAAACTGATGCTGCAAGTAGACCTTACGCAGATGTGCGAGTTATTGACTGTGGGGTGCTTGCCACGAAGTCAACAAAAGATGGTAAGAGTGTTTTGGGGGTAGAGGGAGCTAGGATGCAGGTAACACATGTTGAAGACTGTAACTTAAAGATACCTCCTAGATTTCAGTAGTGGAAGAAATTCCTACAAGTAGTATAGCAATAGCCCTGATGCCTCTATATCATACCCTGTATCCAACCCATCAGGGAATCTTTTCAAATCTGACCTTTTCCTTTTACTTCCCCTGCTGTCAGCGTGGTCCAAACCCAGGTATCTTTTACAAGATAGCAATAGCCTCATTACTGTTCACTTTGCCTCTGTCCTTGCTCCTCTGTAATCTTTTCTCAGCAATGATAGCTTCCTGACTGGTCTCTTTGCTTACACTCTTGACCCTCTGCAGTCCTCAGCAGCAACCAGAGCCATCTTCTCCAAGGGCTCCCTCTCCATCAGCCAAAGCTAAAGTCTTTACAATGGTCTGTAAGGGATTCTGGCTTTCTGCTGTTTCTCTAATCTCTCTTTCCCCTCATTCATTGTCTTGCCAGCCACGTTGACCTTTATTCAGACATGCCAAGCGCTCAGGGACTTTGTGCTGGCTGTTCCTTCTCTCTGGAATACTCTTCGTTCAGATACCTGCATGACCCCCTCCCTCACTTCCTTCAGGTCTCTGCTCAAATGTTATCTTAAATTACCTCAACTTTCCCTGTTCCCTTTACCCTGCCTTTACTTCCCCCTTCTTTTAGCATTTATCATTTGTCATATTATGTAGTTGCTTATTTTCTTCTCTGACCCAGCTAGAATATAGACTTCATGAGGGCTTTGTTACCTTACAATCTCACCAGCAAATTGTATTATCAACTTGAAAAAAAAAAGTTTATTTAAATTTTGTTTTTACGTAAAATAGATAGCTAGTGGGAAGCAGCCGCATCGCACAGGGAGATCAGCTCGGGGCTTTGTGACCACCTAGAGGGGTAGGATAGGGAGGGTGGGAGGGAGGGAGATGCAAGAGGGAAGAGATATGGGGACATATGTATATGTATAACTGATTCACTTTGTTATAAAGCAGAAACTGACACACCATTCTTGTAAAGCAATTATACTCTAATAAGATGTTAAAAAAAATTAAAATTAAAAAAGAATAAATAAATTTTGTCTTTAGTTTTCTTTATACAAAACATGTTTTACAATACTTGGTAATCATGTTTTTTACTCTGAAACATAGGCACTGAAATCCAGTACTAATATTTTTGTTAATATTTCTTAAAAGTTTTTGAGAAAAAAAGGAAGAAACCAACTCATTCAGAAGTCTCGGATTCCTCTTCCAATTCCTCTTCCTCTTCAGAATCATCCTCAGAAAGTGAAATTGAACATGAGAGAAGCAGAAGAAGGAAACATAAGAGGAGGCCAAAAGTTAAACACTCTAAAAAGAGACGAAAGGAAGCAAGCAGTTCAGAAGAGCCAAGGAATAAACATATAATAAGCCCAAAAGGGTAAGTGCGAAACACCAAGGTAGTCTTACCTAAAAAACAAACACCCTGGAATCGGGAAAGTATGTGTGATTCTGTAAACTTAGCTTTGTTACCTATTGTTGAAAAGGATAGCATTTTGTGGACTGCAAATTGAAATCTAGCAAGTCAAGGGTAGCACAGATGTTTCATATCAAAGATTTACACGTTTGCAGGTGAAAATAATCCCTGAAAGAAAAAAGGATCATTGGGCAATTCTTACCAGAATTTTAGTGCTGTGGCTTTTTCACTGTATTGATGTTTTATATGTTCTCTTTATGACAGTTGTGTAAACCTTTTTAGTGAGCTTTGTAAGGTATCAGTAGTTTTGCTGTTAATTATTATGTTATATTATTTAATATTATTATAAAATGCAGACATTACATGTCTTAATTGGTGATTCGGTTTGTTCTCTCTAAGTCACTCTGAGAGGAGTGATACCAATGAAAAAAGGTGTATCGATTCAAATGCTAAAAGGGAAAAGCCTGTGGTGCGCCCAGAAGAGATTCCTCCAGTGCCTGAGAACCGATTTTTACTAAGAAGAGATATGCCTCTTGTCACAGTGGAGCCTGAACCGTAAGGATGATTAACCTACATGTTTTCGTTTCTCTGACTGGTGATTCTGTCAGCTCATTGCAGGTCCACACTCATTTATTGAGCGTGACCCATAGTCAGAGCACTTTGAAATATACTGGGGGAGATATTGGATTCGTAAATGACATGTACCCTGCCTTTCAAAATTCATATTCTGCTAGTAGAGAGAGGGGGTTTGGCAAGTTGATCGGGGAGAAGTTCTTAGTGGAGATCTGGAAAGATTTCATTACCAATCTCATTTACTTGGCCTTTCATTAGAGGTGAGATTTTGGTTGTCAAAACAGGGTTAGTTGAACTCTTTGGATCCAATCGAGTGATAAAACATACTCCAGTTTATAGTGCAAAATTATTGCGTGATGACTGGGGATAAAATTTAGTCCCATATGTTACTGTTGTTAACTTGCTCAGTGATAAATCCTCTGTACTGGAAAAGCTAACATGTAGCTTTAGATTTGGTCTCAAAAAATAGTCATTAATGTATTTTGTGTGTTAGACTCAAGTTTAGAATTGTTAAGGGAAATGTATGAATAGAAATACCGTAAAGTGGCTGGTGTAATTGACACGTTTCCTATGAAGAGTTAATATTGAAGCCTGAGAAGTTATGCACATGTCCCTGTTCACAATCAAGTCTCTTGATTGTGGTTATTGTTTAGTTCATTAGATATTTTAAAATTCTGTATTTTCTCATTTTAAAAAGCTATTATGGAATGGGATGTATCTTTGAACTAATAGCTTAACATACTGATGTTTTCATTTTTAAAAATTGAATGTTCTCTTTATGACAGTTGTGTAAACCTTTTTAGTGAGCTTTGTGAGGTATCAGTAGTTTTGCTGTATATTATATTATTATATATAATATAATATATTGTGAACAAATTTTAGTGGGATCCTTCTTTCTGAAAATATAAGACACCATTCATTGATCAAATCCATTTGGTTTTCAGAAAGTAGGAAACTTGAAAGGTCAGTTTTAGTGTCATCTAGCAGGGGTTGGCACACTGTAGTCATCCATGGGCTAAATTCGGCCTATTGCCTGGTTTTGTACAGCCCATGAGCTAAATGTGGTTTTTATGTTTTTAAATGTTTGTGGAAAAAAATCAAAAGAAGAATAATATTTTGTGACATGTGAAAATTACATGAAATTCATATTTCAGTGTCCATAAATATTTTACTGGAACACAGCCACATCTGTTTGTTCACTGTTTTTCTTGGGCTGTTTTTGTGTTACAGCAGCAGAATCAAGGAGTTGCAGAGAGTTTGTATGTGGTGCTCTCATCGCTTTATATGCTATTCAGTGCACTACACATCACAGTGATGCAGTTATAACTCTCCAGTATTTCAGGTGCTACACATAAAATCCATCTGTGTGGAAAGATATTTTCAGAGATGGAGTATGTAAAAATCTCATTATAGATCCGCATTACCAGAAGAACAGTATTAACATTATCTGCTTTGATAGGGATACTGAACCCTAGTTAAATGAAGTGAAATGTTATCCTCCCTAAAAAAGAATTCCACTCTCCTTAGTAGATCTGTGTCACCAAAAATGATACTTTCTAATTTCATTGATAAAACATTTGTGAAGACTTGTTTTCTTTTTGTTACATAGTTATCTTAATTTTCTTCTTGGCCTAAAAATCCTAAAATATTTACTCTTGGACTCTTATCTTAAGAAAAAGTTTGCCGACCCCTGTTATCTGGTATTTTTAAAGTAGTTTATACCACTGTCTTGTATTTATGGTTGAATATTGCTAGTAAGTTTATTTGGTCATCACTCTTCTTTGGTTACATAACATCTTTGGAAGTTATATTCAGTAGAATTATTTTAAATCATAATTGGCAGGTAGTTGTGTCATACAAAGATAGCACGTTGATCTATTTCATTAGGATGTCTGAGATTTGATCAGTTGTTTGGGAGCTAGAATTGTGTGCTAAGAATGCAAGGTATGCAAGGATAAGAAACAGGCTGTCAACCTTAGTGAGCTTGCCACCTTACTGAATTTACCAGCAGTTAAGCTCATTATCACTTACAATTCACTTAGCGAAAGCTGGGTTCCACACTTGCTCTAATTCATTTGTTCTCATCTTCAGCTGCACTTCAGAGTAATTTGGCAAGCTTTTAAAAATACCAGTTTCTGGGCCATACAGCAAATTAAATCAGAATGTTGTGGGGAGGAGGTAGAGGGTGGCAGCATTTGATCAGCATCTAAAAGTTTCCTAGGTGAACATTAATTTGTGCTGAACACTTAATAGGCAAGTCATTTGGTTCAGTGCTTTGTTCTTCATGAGGAAAACGAGGTCAACAATTGACTGCCAAAAGAGTCCCTGTTTCATCTCTCATTGTGAGAATCAAATGATGTCATGAATATGAAATGACTGAAAAGACAATAATATACTTTTTAGTCAAGGTTTTCTTATAGTAATATTGTATGTTTATCTGGAGCCAGATTCCTGGTTGGGAAAACCCTATAAAATGGTTATAAGAGTCAAGTTTCATTTCTTTCCGTGACCTTGGGCAACATTTTTAACCTCTTAATCTTAAAATTCTTTGTCTTTAAAATGGAGATGATAATAGTACTTACCTCATAGTGTTGTTATGAGAATTAAATGAACTAATGCCTCTAAAACACTTATTAACAACCAGCAATGAACAATCTGAAAAGGAAATTAAGAAAGTAATTCCATAAAATAACATCTAAAAGAATAAAATACTTAGGAATATATTAAATGAAGGAGGTGAAAGACTTGTACAATGAAAACTATAGGTATATATCTAAAATACTGCTGAAAGAAATTAAAACCTAAATAAGTGGAAAGACATTCTGTGTTCATGGATTGGAAGGCTTAATATTAAGATGTCAGTACTACTCAAAGTGAGCTATGGGTTCAGTCAAATTCCAGTAGACTTTGCAGAAATGGAAAAGTCAATGTCCAAGTTTGTGTAGAATTGCAAGGTGTCCCAAATAGCCGAAACAATCTTGAGGGAGAAAGACAAAGTTGGAGGACTCATGTGTCCTGATTTCAAAATTTACTACAAAGCTGCAATCATCAAAATAGTGTGGTATCTAATAAGAACCTGCTGCGTAAAAAAATTAAATTTAATTTAAAAAGAAATAGTGTCGTACTGGCATAAGGATAGACATAGAGACCAATGGAATAGAATTGAGAGTCCAGAAATAAACCCATACATCTATGGCCATTAGATTTTTTTTTTTTCCCCAGTGTCATTTATTATATTGACCTCTGGTTAGTACCTCAGTGGCGTGTGGATTAGGTGAGCAGTGTGAGTCTCTGAGAGGATGGGCATACTGGACACACTGAGAACATCCAGTATCTGGTCCCCCATGATAGAGGTTCAGACCCTGAAATATGGGACCTACTCATGGTCTGAGAGCCTCTGTAGCAGAAGAGAAAACTGGTGGATCATGAAAACATTGGAGTATAGACCTATGTTATTTGTCCTTCATATTGTTTTATTTTAAAAAATTGGCTCCCAGGTGTCCAGAATTGGATTCATTATATTCCTTAGGTTCATGACACCTCTCATGACAGTGTCACCATTGGCTTATATACTGGCTCAAACATTGTTGACTCATACAAAAATTCAGATTTTTGTCTTCTCTTGAGAAATTGAAGAATCCTCCAAAACATTGGTTCTGTTTCACTGCAAGGCAAAAATTAGTGGCTACTCAGAGTGCTGTCCCTATTCATACCAATCTCTGCTGCCTCCTGACCAAGAGAAGTTGAAGTGTATCACTGGGCTTGAACTGTTATTCTTCAAGTGGAAGAATAATCAAGTGGAAAGTGAACTATTCTATTGTGTCCACTTCACTGATTTACATTACCTTCCTGTCAGCATTTGAGTTTGAGAACCCTGCTCTGGGGGGAAGCCCTTACTTATATGCAAAGCACTGAACTAACAGTTTTTCATACATTATCTCTTTAATTTGTAAAAATAAGTTGAAGTATTATCTCTGTTTTACAAGTGTGAAAACTGAAGTTCAAAGAGCTAAATAACTGGCCCAAGGTGATAAAAATTCTAATTTTTGATGCTGAGATTCAAACTTTGCATGGCCATTATATTTTAGATAAGGGTACAAAGTCCATTCCATGGAGAAAGAATAGTCTCTTCAATAAATGGTGCTGAGACACCTGGATTTCCACATGCAAAAGAATGAGGTTGGACCCTACCTCACATCATATGCAAACATTAACTCAAAATGGGTCAATGACCTAAATATAAGAACTAAAACCATAAAACTCTTAGAAGGAAACATAGGGGTAAACCTTTATGACCTTAGGTTCAGCA